ACGTCTTTGGTGGTGATAGCATTCAATTTTCGGTAGTCGATGCATACTCGGACCGAACCATTTCGTTTTGGCACGAGGACCACGGGAAAGGACCATGGTCCTAGTGATGGTTCGACCCACCCCAACCGCTCAAATTCCCGTACCCTTTCCAACGCCAACTGTCTTTCTTTAAGGGAATATCGGTACGGTCGGCAATGTATCGAGGCGTGTTCCCCGGTATCAATGGCGTGCTGTATTAAGTGGGTCAGCCCGATGTCATGGTCCCGAATACTCACGACCTCAGGATAGGCCTTTATAACTGCCAAGAGGAGGTGTCGGTATTCATGGGGAACACGGGCGGGCAGCTGAATCTCGACGGTTCCCTCAGGAAAAGAAACCGTCGTCACAACCGTGGGAACTGTCGTGTTGGCATCGGGCGAGGCCCCAAACAACGAGTTGTCGGTTTTCGCCGAGAGGACGGTCGCGATGAGCTGGCTGTCCGCCGGACTCATCAGTTCGCTCTCCATATCACTATCACAGTCCAGTTCGGGTTCGGCCGAAGGTTCTACTGAAAAGGCCTGTGTCAACTCCCTCGGTCCCTATCGATATTCCTTCGTTCGCGGTTGAAACGACACCCCCTCCTTCAGGAGCATCGCAGCTTTGGCAGGCGTAAGCAGGGGCCGTGGGGGTCGAAAAGACAGGTCGCACAACCCCCTCAGTTCCGTAAATCTTTCCAGTAAGGGGTCCGTTCTGAGGTATAAGGACGCAGGGGGTTCCGAAAGGTCAACTATTCGGAATACCGTCAACAGGGGTTCTCCTTGTACTATAGAGGAGAACGCGTGGGACCGGTCGGATTCGGCCCGCACAATTTCCATGGGTTCTCGGCGCCAAGAATGGCGCCAGCGGTCTTGAACCCGAATCGGGTATCGGCCGGGTACATCTGTCYCGTCGATGTCCGACGAGACTTCGTCCTTGCTTTGGGTCGTTCCTCGGATCATATTAATCTGATGGACTGCGGTGGCGATCCGCGGCGCCGGTTGAGTGCGCATACATACAACCAGCCTCATTGGTATCGTTTGAGGTTTAGGGTGGGCCTGAGTAAGCACAACCTTACAGCTGTCAAAATGTATCCTCGCTCCAACCGCCGCCTGCCACGGAATGCCTAGCAGAACGTCATACGCCTGTACATCCAATATGATTGCATCACACAGACAATGCACCCGCCCTACCCGTATTGGTACGTTCGTTATCCGCCCCTTACAATGAATGCTGTCTTTCGTGGCGGATATATACAGTTCATCCGGACGAAGGGGCTGAATTTGAGTTTCCCGTCCCAACCGTTTCGTCAATTTCCAAGAGATAGCGACCGCAGACGAACCCGAGTCAAGGATGGCGGCGGAGGGGCTTCCCCAGACCTCGCAGTCACACTCAACGCTTTTCCAGGTTATCGGATAGGCCCGAAGAAACACCTTGGGTTTTTCCGGGGCAGGATCCACGGTCTGGATCATCCCTATCCGGGTTGCTTCGTGGGCTCTCGAGGTCGAGGGTTGTGCCTCTTCGGCAGCGGGTGGTTCACGTATAACCGGCTTCTTACCTTTTCGGGTTTCCTCGAACCGACGTCGGTTCTTGAGGCATCGCTCAATCAGCTTCTCATTGGCCGCTTCGGAAATGGTTAGCAGATAGGGGATAGGGACAGGGATTCGTAAATCCAACGCCTTCAAGGCATCCAGGACATCGATCTGACCATCTTTATACTCGGGGCTAGGCGCCGAGAGTTCTTCGAACCCCGGCCGCTAGTGCCCGAGATCACTTTCTTCAGTGATCCTTTGGACGTGACGTATTACTCCGATGGTCCCTGGTTCGAACATCGCCGCCGCCATGTATTCGTCAGGTCCTATCTCGGCGGCCGCGGGAGCTACTAACTCCGACGTTCCGGTGTCCATTACCGTGGCTACTCTTCCTTGTCCGTCAGCTGCAGGAGCGGCTAACGGGACTTGGGAAGGTCCAGCCGCGGGTTTGGGCTTCGGACAGTCTTTGGCGAGGTGGCCGGGATGATTGCAGTTATAACAGCGTAGGGATGCGACAGCGCCAGCTCCGGCTGCAGCTGGTCTCATTACTGAGGCCCCAGCGGCCATAGCCACTTGCTGTCTCTGCGCGGCGGCTATACGCTGCCGCTGCAAACTTTGAACGAGCTCCGTCAATGGGGCTACAACCGTAGCCAGTTGGGCCGCCACATCTTTCATGGCTGCTTCTTCCTCGTCCCGGCCTCCTTGAGCTTGACGAAAGGAGGCCGAAGCGGAGGAAGAAGCTTTATGTTCCGAGCCTTTCTTTGCCGGAGTTAAGCCGAAGCGTTCCTCGAACATCCGAGCCGTCGCGGCGTAGTTATTACGTCGAACGCCCGACGGATCTTCCTCGTCAGACTCAGAATCCAAACCCACGTCGTAATTTTCCTTTCCGTATTTAACGGCATATTGAATTAACTGCATCAAGGTGTGCTCTATAGGATTGCACTTCTTACGGATCTTTTTCCGCAAGCGAGAATCTGACAACCCCCTAACGAAGTCAGTCCGTACCATCTTTTCGTCCATCCCGGACCATTCGGCTAGGTACGTAAAACGCTCCGCATATCTAGCCAAGGTTTCCCGAGGCTGTTGCGAATACTCTTTTATCAGTCGGAGACATTGCCCCGGTGAAATATGATCGAAGCGGTCGAGGAATTTCCTCTGAAAAGCTTGCCAATTCGTAAAGGGGTTCTGGCCATACCACTCAAAGGCCGTCCCAACCAACCGTCCGGGAATTCATTCCTTGAGCAATTGGTCAGACCAGCCCTGAGCCTTCAGGGCAGCCAGCCACATGCGAGGATCCGTTTCATCCTTCGTAAAGAGGGGAACTTCGGACGGGGGAGGTACAAAATGCAAAGGATGATCAGCCATGCCCACGTGGTTATCTCCGCCGTTTCCAGGTTGAACCACTGCGGGAGGCCGATCTCGAGCCCGGCTTCTCGCTCGGTTCGGGTTGCTATTCGCGGCCCGACGACGAGGAGGAGCCAGCCTATTAAACAAAAGAACAAAGAAAGTCTAACAAAAGAGAAATCAACAAAATTCCAAAAATCGGAGAGTCGTCCAAGGACAACCTCGAAGCCGAAACGAATCAGCTCTGATACCAACCTCATGCCCCCTTGCGACTTCCCGTATGGGTCGCCGATCAGAGTTTCAGTTCTGTCTCTTATACACATCTAGATGTGTATAAGAGACAGATACCAACCTCATGCCCCCTTGCGACTTCCCGTATGGGTCGCCGATCAGAGTTTCAGTTCTGTCTCTTATACACATCTAGATGTGTATAAGAGACAGATACCAACCTCATGCCCCCTTGCGACTTCCCGTATGGGTCGCCGATCAGAGTTTCAGTTAAGGGCGTGGCCGAGGATTTTTGGCCGTAAGGGTTGAGTCTCCCGATTGGAACGGGAGGCCCCCGTTTCGAGGCCGAGGTTGCCTTCGGGACTCGAGCTGTCGCCGTCGAATTCTTTATGGTTCGGGTCGGGCGGCACCGGCAAAAACGGAATAGTTCCGCAGAAACGGACAACCTGCATGAATTCAGCCGAAAAAGGACAACAAGTGAGAAAGAAGAGAGGCCATGGCGGGCAAGGCTCGGAGGCCAGGCCGTCAGGGATTCGTTGTACAGATAGCGGGTTCGAGGCCTTCAAGCCTCGGCGTCGGACTCATAAAGTCCGCGCGGGAGTTCCCGAGAGGGCGAAGCGGCAGAAGAGCCCATTGACACCCAAGTTCGAAATTGCGCGGGCAATGCCCCCTCGTTGCGAGAAAGCTTGGGGAAACGGGCTGATCCCTCGTACCCCAGGACCAATCATCGCCAGGAACACGAATCCCCCTGGCGGCACCAGCGGCAGTTAAACTGCGGCTGCCACGTGGCGTGAGCAGCCGACCAGGGTAACACCACCAAATCGGTGTAAGGCAATATCAGCGTCGGGGAGTCAAAACGATCAATCAACACAAACCCTTTTCCCCCTACGTTAATTGCCCGAGGCGGGTTCCAACAACTTACCTGCTCCGCCCGTCTCAGAGCACGCCGTACGTCCGTGTCACAGTAGACGCCATCGTCGTCTGCGACTGGGAAGGGCGACAACAAAATGGGATGCTCGGAGGTAGGCGATGAACACTGGTCAGTTCTCGCGCTCCCGGTCGCTCGCACCCATACCTTCTCCATAGAACACTCGATGTAACCCGTTCTTTCTAGAGGGGCGCTCGAGGAAAAGATGGCAAAGTTACTTCTCTTCCCTTATGCGGGGGCGTCAACCGCGCGAGCGGACGCGCACCGTTGACGTCACCGGTGCGGGGATGAGAAGCGCAGAAAGCAAAAACAACTTTACCCAATTTCAAAGCAAAAAGTCGAGCGCAAGAGAGAGAAAGAAAGAGGTTACACAGAGACTGCGCTCGCGCGCAGAAGGGTCCGTGGAAGGGCGGGGAACAACTAGATCACACACTCATGCTCCTAAGCAGACGGTCAATCAGTTCAATTCCCCCATCCCCGCCCGGATACACACCCGCATACACACTTGCATGCAATCACACACCCAATCAGGACATCCAATCATCCACCGACTTGTGACTTCACACATGCATACGACAAGCGTCCCACCAYGCGGGGTTCCATACACATGACACGTGGACAAAGCAGCAATGGAGAGAAAAGCGAGTCCTTCTTGTATACAAAAATTTTCAACCAACTGYCGCCCCCAGGCGCAGCCATTAAAACATCCTCAGACCACCGACCACCATAGCCACAAGGCCCTGCCGCGGCCGGCGGCCAACCTCCACCACTGCTCGGTCCCTCCGACTACTCARCGCCGAGTCTACCACGGGCCCACCCAACGCCGTCACCCCGCCCGTCCTTGGGCACGTCGAGCCTGTTCAGCGCCGCAGACTTCGCGCATAGCTCACGCAGCATTGCAGCCGAGATCAAAGAGAGGGGGAGGAGAGGGTTGCGCGAATTTATAGCGTGGGAGGCGGCGGGTTGTCAGAGCAAGGTGCGGACGGCGGTGTAGATGAGCAGGACAGAGGAAAGGAGGGAAGTCCGGAGGGTTCGACCCGCGGAATGACATGGTCCTGCGTGCTTGGGGTGCACGTTCAAGGGTCGCGGGGTTCTCCCGCTCTCCACATTGATCCGCGCATCCCAACCACGCAGCCAATCACATCGCGGAAGAAGATAAGGTAAGGATCGGACTTGCATGGGGGAAGACGAAGAGTCTGGCATGGGGGAAGCGCGCGCAGCAAGAAAGGGAGATGGCGTGCGAAAGCGAAGCAAGAAGCAGGATTACGCGGCGCTCAAAGGAATTGACGCTCAGCCGTGCGCACAAAATTCGAATTCCCGAAAAGTCCGACCGAAACCGTTTCTTTGTTCCGCCGCCATTCAGCCGCTCGGGAATCATTAACCTTAGAAAGACGAAAAGCCGCAAAAAGAAGAAAAAAACGAAAAATGATAAGCAAAAAGAAAAGAAAACCCCGTCTCTTTCGTGTCCGTACTTTGGGGCCTTCGGAGGATTTCTCCTCAAGGATACGGAAAGCCGCGCAGTACGGATCTGAGCGTATCACATGCCCAGCTTCTAAGCGTATCTGGGATTGGTGGGCCGAACAATGGCGGCAACTTGTGGGAGTGGATTTTAACTGGAACAGAGAGTGGGCACTGTTGGGCGGTATCCCAGATGAGTTGGACACCAAAAAAGGCACTGGATATTTGTTACAGGCGGCAAGGACAGTTTGTGCTGCAGTAATTTGGAAGAGTCGGAATCTGCAGGTGTTTGAAAGCAGGGAAATGACAAATAAGGAAGTGAGGCAAATGTYGCGATCCTCTCTGCGGCGAATGCTCTTGGCAGATTGGAAAAGGAGATCTGGGGCGAATTGGTCTATTGGGTTTGAAACTACATAGGGTCTAGGGGGCAAGCTAGCTAATTATGAGAATGGGAAGCTGTCCCTGAACAGCTGGTTTTGAAGAGAGTAGGTTTAGTTATCTGAACCTGTACACTCGGTTCTCACATCCGCGGGAGGAAGGCGGTAGGGTTTGTTTGCGGAGGGAGTGTCGGCTGTCGTTTTCCGGTCCAATCTGGTCCGATACTGTCGTGTTAGGCTGTATCCTTGTTAGTATGCATTTTGGTAGGCTTTAGCTATAGGGGTATGATTCCTTTTGGTTTGTGAGGCTTTTTTGGGCTTGTTGCTGACGTTAGTTTTTTTGTTTTTAGTTTACAGGGTTCTATTCTTCAAGGCAGGGGCCTAGGTCTGGCCAATTCTGTCCTTAGATATTCTTCGACCCTGTGCGGTGTACTAGAGTTCAATGTTGGAGCATTTTTGCTCGCAGGCTTTTGCCTGTAAGCTAAGCTGGCTGATGCTGCCAGATACTCCGGGTTGAATTGTGAGGTCCCCGGCCTCGAAGGTTACTTTTGGAAATATAATGAGAAGTTTCTGGTTTMAAAAAAAAAAAARAAAAAAAAAGTGGCTATATATGTGGCACAAGCCACAAGAGCAGTCATAATGAAGGTTATATGGGACGACCGGAATGACCAAGTATTTAAACAGTCATCTATTTTGGAGAACGCAATAAAAGCCAAAGTGGCATACATGATCAGATTAACGATAATGAGCGATTGGACTCGGACTTCCTCAAAAGGCAGTCAGCAGAAAGCTAGAAGGAAATTTGCTGAGACATGGGGCAGAGACTCTAAGGGCCTCGCCACACCACTCTCGAATCTCGAAAATTCGAGAGTTGGGCATCGCCACACAGCCTCGCGAAAAAAAAAACCTCGGATTTTTTCGAGAG